GGGCCAGACCAATGGGCCCGGATCCCCGCCCGCCTCGGGCCAGACCAGTGGCCCATCTAACTTGGATCTAGCCCTTCCCCCCGAGAATCTCCTGTTTCCAGCCGGGTTCTTCTCGGGCCACCTGACCGTCAGGCTGGGCTGGAGGATTTAGTGGTTAGTTGTTATCGCTGGAGTCTCATCTTTAGAGAAGCACGGAAGGGGCTTTAGAGCAACTAGCATCCGGAGGCACAACCCCCTCCCCCCCTTTTCCACCCCTTCCCCCCCACACACCATGGGGTACAATTGGCCCTGTTGTGCCGGCGCTGCGCAGACCCTGCCCCCCGAGATCAGGGCCCCCCTCGCGCCGGGCACTGCACAGACCCGGCGCAGCCCCTGCTCCAAAAAGCTCACGATCTAAATAAGGAGGGAGGGGAAAGTGAGGCGCACAGCAGGGAGGGGACCTGCAGGGCAGGGACAGAACCCAGGAGTCCGAGTCGCAGCCCTGGCCCATCCTGCTGTCTCTGTGCTCCCCGGGCCCCACTTCTCTCGGCTGTTGTCCGAGGCCCAGCGCAGGGCCCAGCCCAGGCCCCGATGGAAGGGGGCCAGGCCTCCCACGGCACAGCCCCCCCGCTCTCCCTTGTTTACACATTGCTCGGCAGCTCTGGCTGACGCCCTCTCCAGCAGCCCTTTTACAGCACGAGACCCACCCCAAGGGCCCCCGAGTCATGTTTTCCTCCTCTGCCCCCCCCCCCGCCCCGCCCAGACTGGCCACAGCAGCTGCACATCTGGAGCAGCACGGGCGCTGCTGACCAGAGCCGGCGGGTCAGCCCTAGAGCCGGCGGAGCCGTGAGAGGTCCAGACCGGCTGCTACAGCACAGCAGGGACACCCGCGAGGGCAGTGCCAACCAAGAGCAATGCCAGGGGCTGCACAACGAGACAGGGAGCTCGCTGGCCCAGGGCAGGAGGGGAAACTGAGGCGCAGAACAGGGCAGCCCAGCAGGGCGTGGCAAAGGAGGGGGCAGAGTGCACGTCTCCAGGTTCTCCCCAGACCGCTCCTCTGCCCCCAAAGCCCTTTCATGTGGCTTCCAGCGGGCCTGCCCCCAGCTCCAGGTGCTGGGGGTTTTCCGGCCCCTGAGCAACGGGAACTGACTCTGTGCCATGGGGGGCAGGCAAAGGGGCGTGAGCAGCGGAGCCGGATGCCCTCCTGCATGGAGCAGGGCCTGTCTGCACCCAGTGCCACGGGGCAGGGCTCCGCAGTGCCAGACACAGGCAATGTCTTAGTGGGAGATGAATGGACGCTAGTGCTTAGAGCTGGGGGCATGGAGGATGCACGCCAGGACTCCTGGGTTCTTTCCCCAGCTCCGGTAGGGGAGTGGGGGCTAGTGGTTAGAACGGGGGGCTGGGAGCCAGGACTCCTGGGTTCTCTCCCCAGCTCCGGTAGGGGAGTGGGGGCTAGTGGTTAGAGCAGGGGGGCTGGGAGCCAGGACTCCTGGGTTCTTTCCCCAGCTCTAGGAGGGGAGTGGGGTCCAGTGGGTAGAGCCGGGGGGCTGGGAACCAGGACTCCTGGAACTGGCAATAGAAGTGGGGTGTAGGGATTAGAGTGGGGGGACCAGGACTCAGGATTCCTGGGGTCCATCTCTGTTCTATCACTTACTGTGTCACCTGGAGCGAGTGCCTCAGTTTCCCCACAATCTGGGAACAGGGGATGATCCCCACTGGGCATAGAGGCTTCATGGAAGTTAGCAAAGCGCTGGGAGCGGCTGACAGGGGACGACAAAGCCCTAAACCCCATCCCAGCTGCCCAGCAGACCCACCGGGGGTACTGCGCTCACTCTGCCAGACATCACAGGGGCCTTCGGCTGATGCCATCACACAGCGCTTCCTGGCCAGGGCAAGAACCCAGGAGTCCTGGCTCCCAGCGCCCCCATCCCAGCCTAACACTAGACCATGGGGGGATGCTGCAGCGGGGACCCCCCCTCCCCGCTCTGGGTGCAGATCCATGTCCTACAGTGGGGTGGGGGCTGCGGTGCATCCGGTCCAGCCGCACCAATCACCCAGCCTTGGCAGAGGGGCGCTGGAGACCCAGCCCTGGGCGTCCCTAGCGGGCAGGGACGGGCGTTGTACGGGGAGCTCTCCCTGCCGGTGCCCAGGCTGCCCCGCTCTGCTCTCCCGGGCCTGGGGGGCACCCCGCTGTGTGCGTGCTGTGCCCAGGCCTGGGGGGGGGTGAAGCCGGGACGGCAGGAGGCCGTGCTGGGGCCCTGACCCCCGGGCTGGCAGGGGAGGGTTCACAGCCGGGTGCCCGCTCCTTACCAGCCCTTGAGCTTGCGGTGATGCTCCTGAATGCTCCTGTTCACCCGCAGCCTCGTCAGGAAGGTGGGCGAGTTGCTGGGGAAGAAGACGGGGGAGTGGGGGGGCCTGGAGGCCGAGCCCGACTTGGGCTGGGAGTGGGGGCCGCCGGAGGCACCGGGCGAGCTGGGCAGAAACGTCTCGTCGTCCTGTCTGCTCAGCAGCTCCAGCTCGGGGATCCGGGGCAAGCTTCTCCTCTTCCTCTCCTGCGCCATGGATCCGCCAAGCTCCGGGTCTCGCAGGGCTGCAGGCTGGGCAGAGGAGGGCAGTAGTGCCCGAGTGGTGCTGGCAGGTCAGAGACACCCGGGCAGTGCCAGGGCAGGGTGCTTTCGCCAGGCGCCTGCCGGTGGTGCGCTCGGGGCAGGGACACGGTCCGGCTGTCAGCGTGCTGCCCTGCGGCCCCTCTGGCGTGTCCCGCGGCTCTGCCAGCCCCTGGCAGTGCCCTCCTGGTGCCACGCTGGCCCGGGGGGGGGCAGCTGCTGCTCTGGGAAGCAAATGGCTGCCAAAGTTTCTAGCAACTCGGCTGCTCCTGGGCTCTGGAAGTGTCGTGCAGGGGGGTCTCGGGGCGGTGGGTGCCCCCAGATCTGGGGATGGGAGGTGCCCCCAAAAGGCCCCCCACCGTCAGTCACCCTTCCCAGCCAGCCAGCCAGCGGGGAGAGCTGGTTCCTCCAGCCCTGCCGAGCCCGCGGCTTCACCCTCCTTCCGCTCTCCGAGTGCAGCAGGAACAGGAAAGCCCGGCCGGGCTCCACCAAGCCCCAGAGCCGAGCAGAGCCGGCGCTCGGACCCTCAGCCGGGGAGAGAGGGGCTGGCCCATGCCCGACTTCCCCTCCCAGCACAAACAGCCACAGCCACTCAGGGGCAGGCACCCGGGCTGGGATTGTGGGTAAGGGGCAGGGCTAGGAGCCGAGGGAATCCAGCTTCAGTTCCCAGCTCAGCCACAGATTCCCTCCGTGCCCTCGGGAGAGCCCTTTGCCGCCCCGTGCCTCAGTTTCCCCAGGGGCGGGGTAAGAGCCCTCCCCTTGGTTAGAGCCCAGCCTGCTTCGGGGCAGGAGCCCTGGCCCCTGCTGACGGGGGACACCTGCCTTCTAGCCCCAGCTCCGCAGGATGACCTTGGCCAAGTCCCTGCCCCACTCGGTGCCTCAGTTTCCCCTCACACCCCTTGTCTGTTTAGACGGTGAGCTCTTTGGGGCAGGGGCTGTGTCCATGCCGTGCTCAGTGCAATGTCTGCTCTCCACCTCCCCCGGGACCCCAGCCCCTGTTCTCCCGCAGGACAGACCTGCTCCAATCTCGGCCCCCCTCGGCCCCACGGGCCTCTCCCCCTCCTGCCCTGTCCCACCTCCCTCGGGCCTCCTAGCCCACTGCATGGGCTGGTCACAGACACTGCCAGCCTAGCCCCTCCCCAGTGCTTGCCCGGCCCCTCCCCAGTGCCAGACTAGCCCAGCCCCTCCCCAGTGCCAGCCTGGCCCAGCCCCTCCCCAGCGCCAGCCCAGCCCCATGCATGCCACAGACACTGCTCTGCCCGTCTCTGCCGACCTCTTCTAGCTACAGCTCAGAGCCAGCCTGGCCCCCTCCCCCCGGCCCGCCAGCCACACTCCTCTGGAAACGCTCCTTGCTCGGGCAGCATGTCCTTTGGAGGGTCCTGCTCAGCCCCTCCAGCGTCCTGGGGCCTCCGTCCCCTGCTCTTCTCCCTCTGCCCCGGGTCTCCGGGCGAATGCACCCGCAACCCAGTTCAAACCCCAGCTCTCCGCTGACGCCCCACCAAGGACAGTCATCAACATGTGGGGCTCAGAGGGACCGAGGGATCGCCTAGTCCAGCCCCCGCCACTGAGGCAGGATCCAGCAAACCCAGCCCAGCCCTGGCAGGGGTTTGTCCATCCACCCTTAAACCCTCCGTGACAGATGGGGATGCCCCAGCCACCCTGGGGAGCCTATTGCAGAGCTCAGCTACCCTGGGATTCCTGGATATCGGACCTAACCCCCCTGCTGCGGATACAGCCCCTGCCCCTTGTCCTGCCCCGGTGGGCGTGGAGAACAACCCCTCCCCCAGCCCTGCGCGTGGGAGGCCGGTTCTCAGGGCCCCTCGGGCTTCTCTCTGGCGCAAACAGGCCCCGGGTTTGTAACGTTCCTCGCAGCGCAGGTTGGCTGAACCTTCGCTCAGTCCGGCCGCTCTCCTCCGGGCTCTCCCAAGCTTGCCTGAAGTGCAGTGCCCAGAATGGGCCACCGGGCTCCTGCTGGGGCCGTCCCGAGCGGGACAGTCACCTCCCGCGTCTTACATCCACCACTCCTGGCCTGTTACTGCGCCCCGGGCTGATCCAAGCCCCTTTGGCAGCGGCAGCACACGGTGGGCTCACATTCAGCTTGTGACCCCCGGTGACCCTCAGCCCCTTTGCAGCACGGCCAGCGCCCAGCCTGGCAGTCCCCACGCGGGGCTTGTGCCTTTGGGTTTCCCTTCGTGACGTTATTGACAAGAGCAGTGACCGTATAGATCATTGTGGCAACCAAGGTCCTGTAGTTGCACCAAATCTTGTACAAAGGAGGCCCCGTAAGGTGTCTATGGAGAGGTTCTGGTTTGCTGGTTAGGATGATGCTGTCTGTGTGTGTGTGTCATTTGTGCAGTTGAAGTTAGGAATATTGGCTCTGTACTTGTACCTCAATGTGTTTTGATTCTAGGGCTATGGCTACACTGGCGCTTTACAGCGCTGCAACTTTCTCGCTCGGGTGTGAAAAAACACCCCCCCCCCCGAGCGCAGCAAGTGCCAGCGCTGTAACGCGCCCGTGGAAGCCGTGCCCCAGCGCTGGGAGCTAATCCCCTCGGGGAGGTGGAGTACCTGCAGCACTGGGACAGAGCGACCACACTCGCATTTCAAAGGGCTGCGGCGGGAGCGCTCCTGCAGCAGCGCTTTGACGTTTCCAGTGTAGCCACGGCCTAAGCAGCCTCCGTGAAGCATCTGGTCAGCTTCTTGAGAAGGGGCTATTCTCAGGAAGTGCCCAATCAAGAAACACTGAACGGACGATGGACTTTGGGAGACTCCAATCCACATCTGAGCTTTCCTGGGAACCTTCAAAGTAACATGGAAACAATGGCGTCCTGTGACTGTAACGATGCTGCCTTTGGTGGGACCCAACGGAGAGTGTCAATTCAGGACAAACTGCTGAGAGCCGGGCAGTTACAGCCCCAGGCTAGTGGTTCTCCATCTCTAAGGCACCAAACCAGCCCAACAGAGAGGACTTCGGTCTCACCCCACTGGCTAACCACAAGTCACACAAGCAATTCCCTCAGACACTCCAGTTTCCCAGTATCCCCACCAGTGCCACTCATTATGGGGACTAATGGTTATGAAAACCAATATCCCAGTAAAAGAAAAAAGGTTCTCCTGATCCCATAGGACCAAGCCCCAGACCCAGGTCAATATACAAATCAGATCTTACCCACAAATCACGCTGTTGCCAATCCTTTAGAATCTAAAATCTAAAGGTTTATTCATAAAAGGAAAAAGATCTGGATGAGAGCTAGAATTGGTTACATGGAATCAATGACACACAGAAATGGCAAAGTTCTTGGTTCAGGCTTGTAGCAGTGATGGAATAAACTGCACGTTCAAATCAAGTCTCTGGAACATCCCCAGCTGGGCTGGGTCATCAGTCCTTTGTTCAGAGCTTCAGTTTGCAGCAAGGTTCCTCCAGAGGTCAGAAGCAGGATTGAAGACAAGATGGAGGGTATCTAGGGCCTTTTATATACTTTCGCTTGTGGGTGGAAACCCCTTGGTTCTCCTGTGGAAAATCCCAGCAGCAAGATGGAGTCCGGAGTCACATGGGCAAGTCACATGTCCGTGCATGACTCAGTTTGCAGGCCGACACCATTGTTTCCATGTTAGTTTGAAAGTTCCCAGGAAAGCTCAGATGTGGATTGGCGTCTCCCAAAGTCCATCGTCCGTTAAGTGTTTCTTGACTGGGCACTGACTGAGAATTGCCCCTTCTCAAGAAGCCGACCAAATGCTTCACTGAGGCTACTTAGAGTCAAACACATTGAGATACAAGTACAGAGCCAATATTCCTAACTTCAACTGCACAAATGACACAAACACACAGACAGCATCATCCTGACCAGCAAACCAGAACCTCTCCATAGACACCTTACAGGGCCTCCTTTGTACAAGATTTGGTGCAACTACAGGACCTTGGTTGCCACAATGATCTACACGGTCACAGTTCATGTCAATAACGTCACACCCTTCCCAAGAGCAGGACTCTGCACTGGTCTTTACTGAATTTCAGGTTGTTGATCTCAGACCAACTCTCCAATTGGTCACGGTCGTTTTGAATCCTAAACCTGCCTCCCAAGTGCTCCCAGCCCCTCCCACCCGGGTGTCATCGGCACATTTCACAAGCCCACTCTCCACTCCGTTACCCACGTCGTTAATGAAAACACCGACTGTCACGGAGTGTGGGGGGACACAAGGCCCTGCAGCCCCGGCTTCCTGTGATTCACCATCACACTCAGCCAGCCAGTAAAGCAGAAGGTTTATTTAGACGACAGGAACACAGTCCAAGACAGGTCTTGCAGGCACAGACAACAGGACCCCCCCAATTAGGTGCATCTTGGGGTCCCAGGGCACCACAGCCGCCTTGGGAGGTCAGAGCCCCGTCTGCCTCCCAGCCATTCTCCCAGCCAGCTCTGAAACTCTCACTCCCCCAGCGTCTCCTCTCCCAGCCTTTGTGCAGTTTCCCGGGCCAAGGTGTCACCTGGCCTCTAACCCCTTCCTGGGTTCTCACGTTACATGCTCAGGTATCTTCCCTCAAGGCCAGTCTCCCATCCCCCAATGCAGACCGTCCTAGCCAACCTCCCCACTCAGCATTCACTGACCACATTAAGAACAGTCCCAGCTGGTCACACCGACTAGTTCCAGAGCTGACCCCTGCGGGATCCCCCTGGAAACGCCCCCCAGTCTGACAGCGCCCCATTGAGAACTACGCTGGGCGTTCGCTCGCTCAGCCAGTTGTCCTCCCCTTTACAGCCACTGCATCTAGCCCCATTCCCCTGCTTTGCTCAAGGGACATCAGGTGGGCCTGTCAAAAGCCCGAGGAAAAGGCAGCTCTATCAGCGTCCCCCCAGCCCCACTAGGCCAGCAGCCCTGTCGAAGGAGGAAATGAGGGCGGTTTGGCAGGTTTGTCCTTGACAAAGCCGTGCTGGCTAGTCCGCCTAACCCCGCTCTCC